AGAACAGAATACAAGACACAAAAAGAAACTCTCCAGATACAGTCATCTGAACCTAGACAATAGGGCCAAAATCATACTCTACAAAAAAAGGCAGCACTTTTAACAAATGGTGCTTGGAAAACTGTTATCCATACGTAGAATGACACTAAATCCTCATCTCTCACTCTGCACAAAAATCGACTCAATATTGATCAAACACCTAGAAATTAGAACAGAAACTGTACAACTCCTGGAAGAAAATGTAAGGTCAACACTCCAATATATAGGTACTTTTTCAAGAGGACTCCTAAAGCTCAGGAAATAATATCAAGAATTGAGAAATGGGATGACATCAAATTAAAAAGCTTCTGCATAGCAAAGAAAACAATTGAAAATGTAAAGAAATGTGGGAGAAAATCTTTGCTAGTTACTCTTCTTTTGATATAGGGATTGAACCCAGGGTCACTTAATCAGTAACTCACATCCCCAGCCCTTTTTGTTTGTTTATTTTTATCTTTAGACTTGGTTTTGCTATGATGTTGCTCAGGGCATTATTAACTTGCTTAAATCTGGCTTTAAACTTGTGATCAGGATGATATAACCCTATCATATCTTCAGGCCTCAGCCCCCTGAGCCTCCAAGATTACAGGTGTACCTGGCTGCTAGCTACTTTTCTAATAGAGGATTAATGTCTAGAATACATAAAGAACTCAACAACTGTAACACTAAAAACCAAAGAGCTTAATTAATCAGTGGGCAAATGAACTAACAAAAGAAAAAAATACACGTGGCCAACAAATATATGAAAAAAAAAAAAAGTTCAACATGGTTAGCAATTAAGGAAATGCAAATCAAAGCTACAATGAAATTAGCTCCGGTCAGAATGGCAGTCATCAAGAATACAAACAATAATAAATGCTAAAGAAGATGTAGGAAAAAAAAGGAACACTTACACATTTTGGAGGGAATATATATTAGTACAACCACTATGGAACTCAGTATTCAATTTCCTCAGAAGACTGGGAATAGGGCTGTGGCTGTAGCTCAGTGGTAGAGCACCTGCCTCACATGTATGAGGCACTGGGTCGATACTCAGAACCACTAAAAATAAATAAAGATATTTTTAAAAAAGACTGGGAATAGAAACACCAATACGACCCAGATATATCACTCCTCATTATTAACTCTAAAGAATTAAGGTCGTTATACCCTAGCCATACATGCATACCCAAGTTTATAGAGGCACAACTCACACAATTGCCAAACTATGAAACCAGCCTAGATGTCTGTCAATGGATGAATTAATTAAGAAAATGTGATGCATATACACAATGGAGTTTTATTCAACCATAAAGAAGAATGAAATTTTGCCATTTGCAGGAAACCGAATGGAACTTAAGAACATTATGTTAAGTGAAACAAACTAAACTCAGAAAGTCAAGGGTCGTATGTTTTCACTCAGAGGTGAAAGCTACTGAAGAAAAAGGAAAAAGGAAGATGGGGGATCTCATGAACACTGAAGGGAGATAAGTAGAAGAGAGAAAAGGGACCAGAGGGAAGGGTGAGAGGAGGGAAAGGGAAATACTGAGAAATGACAATGGCCAAATTATTGTGTGCATGTATGAATATTTAACAATAAATCCCACACTATGTGTAATTATTATGCAACAATAATAAATATGAGGAAAAAAATCAAAGTCTGAGTAATCATGTCATTTTTCTCTCAAACTCCCCTGAAGGTTTCACTTCATTAAGAGGTAAAACCTAACAGTGACTTCCTTTGGCCCTATTTGGTCCAGTCCCTCCTCACATTACCTCCTTGACATCTTCTCTCATTCCTACCTTTACTCGTTCTGCTTCAGTCATACTGCAGACTTGGACCTGCCTGAAGGCCTTTAAAAGCCCTGGATGTTCCCCCTTCTGCAGTGGTCATTCTCCAGATACTCAAATGGCTAACCTCCTCATCTCCAGCAAATCTTTGTCCTGTATCACCATCTCCATGAGATCCACCCCAGCCAATATAAAATGGCTATTCTCTCTGTTCTTCAGTAACATTTTGCATTTTTACTTAGCATTAATTACCTTTGTAACTCAATATTTAATTAATCTATTAATCAGATATTTTGTTTTCTCTTTTTGTTCCCCTAAAAAGTTAGGGATCTTTTGTCTGTTTCTACATGTTGATGTTTTTTCCAAGTGCCTGGAAATTTCTACCACATAAATATTTACTAAGTAAATATGTAACATAACATTTATATGTATATCATTATTTATATTTACATATACAAATGTGTACATATTTCACATTTATATATACAATTTATCTATAAACATATTTTCAATAATAATAATAATAATAATATTGATACTTCTTATGGAATATCAAATTGGGCACACCACAAATGCTTTGAATTTCAGGTTTAATTCAACAGATATGAGAAGAGTTCAGTATTGGTCAATATTCTTCAACTAAAGTGATGTGCTCAATGAGATATAAGTGTTTAACATTGGCTTGCTAAATCGGTAAACTAGGGTTAGAAATATGGTGGCCAAAGAGAGAGGTATTTAGGGCTCTGAACTTAGAGGAGGACAGTAATGACACATTGTCCTACTCAATGACAGGTTTGATATTCAAAGATGCTGAAATAGGATGCAAAGATAGTTCAATACTCTCAAAAATGAATATTAAAACTGTTAATAATGCTTGTGATATTGTTTGTATCATTGTTTCCCATCAATTTAAAACAACAGTTGAGAATGATACAACCATGGGGTATCATTGTTTCACCTCTGTTACAAAAATGGTGAAGTTGTGTTGCTTTATCATGTCCCACTTTTAGATGATTAAAATGACATGTTAAGGGTTGTACAAGTAATTAGAACAAATATTGAGTTTTAAGCTAAGGCCTTTAAACTGAATCTCTAGCTCTTCCCAGAATATCCTGAAGCTTTGGTCAACTATTAATGAATTAACGTCATTTACCCTGTCTTGAAAAAGGATCACAAGACTGAAGAACTGCCTTCTCCACTAAAATTCCTAACTGTTTTGACCACTGTTAAGCTTTCTAGGTACAGAAAGTCACATAAAGTTTAAAACAAACTTAGGCTGAAATATCAGAGTGGAGATGATAATTTTCTTTTGCAGCAATCTGAATGTTTCTGGAGTGATCTATTCATTTTTTTTCTCCAGTATCTAAATATTTGCTAATATATATTGAACACTTATTTAAAAAAAAAAACCTTCACATTTATTAACTAATTTAAGTCTGAAGTATGGTTGACAAACTAGAGTTAGTTCTGGGAAGTAAAAAAGATGGTGGTGATTTAGTTGGGGGTGTTCGATTTGAGGATGGAAGTTGTGGTCTAGAAATCTTAAAGACTAGAGGTGGAATGTATAGAGGAAATCATACTAATTTTAAAAATCTAAGCAATACTGTCATGCAAACAAAAGATAAGGTTTATTTGTAAAATCTTAGATGGCACATAATTTAACAAATGAAAATGACTAAATTTCAGACTTGAGATCAATAAAGCTACATTGCTTCAAAGTTAAAATTATTTTAAAATGATATGATTATTAAAAGTGATATGGGTTAGTTGAGGCCCATGACTCAGAAAACTTTTAAAAACTGAAGGATCTATAAGAGATATTGTGGAAGAGATCCCCGCCACAGGTTCTAGTGGATCCAGAATTCTCTCCCAAATTTAAGATTCTGGGACTGTTAAGTTAGTATGAGGCTGGCTGGCATCTTGGGCAGGTTTCCTCAGCTATAGAGATATAATTAATATTGGTACCTGTAAGTTTGAAGTCTGTGTCCTCTGCATACCACAAAGAGGCAGCACATTGGAACATTTAAGACACTTGATTTTTTTTTTTTATCTGATTCTATGGTAGCAGAATGTCAATGTGGGGATAAGAGAAACTGAAGTACAGTCCTAGCCATGCTGTCCTCCTAACCACTGTTAATTAGAAAGAAAAGAGCCATGGTTAGAAGGAGGGATAAACACAGTAAGAAAAGAAGAGCAGGAAGGATAAGAAATGCAAAATGATTTGGAGTCAAAAATGGAGAAAAATGACAAGACAATCAAGAAGGGAACAGATTGTCTCTCCAGAAAAACTGTAATCAGGGTTAGTTAAAAAGAAAATCTTCACCCACATTAAACACAAGCGAGCCTCAAGAGAGCAGTGTTGAACCCAGGAAGAAGACAGAAGTCCAAAGGTGATAAATTGCACTGACTGGCAACTTGAACTTGACCTTTTTCCTGAGAACGTTTCAGCTGTGGTTTATTTTTATTTTTTTGTGGTTCTGAGATTGAACCCAGGGCCTTGTGCATGCGAGGCAAGCTCTCAACCAACTGAGCTGTATCCTCAGCCCTCATCTGTGGTTTACACAGTTGTTTGCTTGGTGTCAGAAGACTGCATGGAGATAGATATTCTGGTTTCAGTGCATTTCATGCTTTTAATGCAAAACTGAATCCATTTTCTTCAGATGGGTACCCTTAGATTGTATAAAGGTAAGAAACAGCTCTCAGCATGAGTAAACTCTTCTCAGCAAGAACAAAATACAAATAAATACACATGAAAGTTGATTTGCCTTTATCTTTTGAAATGGCAGTTTTCAGAGAAAGAAAATTAGGAAGCTTTTTCTTCATTAAAAACAAAAATTATTCTCCAACACGGTGAGACCAAATTCTGGTGAATAGAACAACGAACTCCTGCAGGATGTGAATGAATTGCCCCTTTTGTTGGGAGGGAGGCACCAACGATAGATGTCCTAAAGAGAAGATGAGACTTACAATTTTCCTACAGATACATGTGATTCCAGAATTTGAAACTTATGTTTGTTCCCTAGGGAGGGACACATAGGCAGAATTCCAGAGGAAAGGAACAACTGGAAGTTTGAAGGGACTTACAGGGAAACTTTATCAATAGAATTACTGCTCCCTTTAAAAGCAGCTTTTCTAAAAAATAAGCACAAAATAAGGAATCTAATCATGACAACATTTGCAGAAGAACTTACGTGTGTAGAACGCATGATCCCAAACATGGGGAACATTAAACCAGGCAGCAAAGCTGTGACTGACAGAGGTAGAGCTTCTGTGATCCAAAATATGGCTACAACGAAGAGTACGTAGGCACATTCTGCTTCCTGGAAAGAACAGAGGCAAAACCCAAGGTGAAATCACCAGCCTAGAGAAATCATCATTCAAACCAAAACCACATTTTCTGGATGGAGCCAAATCACAGAAAAAGTAAGACTCTCGGAAGATCTCTGCATCTTAGAGTTGTCAGAAAATAATTTTTAGGGGTTCCAAGGGACAACATTTAATATACATGAAAAACCAAAGACAGAAAAAATAACCCTCATTTCTTTCATTTTTCCATAAGAACAGAACACCATCTAGTTAATTTTCTGGGTTCATGTTTGTGCATTTGGATGTTTGTACTCACCTTCCTTTGGCCTCTAAAATGCATTCCCAATGCTGCTGAGCAATAGCCAGGTAATAGCCTTTCCCTTGGGGCAGGACACTTGCCTCTTAATTGCTTGCCTGGTTCCTGCTCAGATAGGACTGATGTACCCCTACCCCTCGCCCTTTCTAACTAAAATAGGGAAAACATCCTAGGGGAATTTTTTGCTGTACTTGATCTCAAAGGAAGAACGATGATAATGAATGGTGATATGGATAAGCCTGAAACCATCTTCTAAGTGACATGAACCTGGAGGTAAAGAACTTTCTATTCTGCTTTTTGAGAAAGACACCCAAGATCCTAGAGAGACTCAACAGGAATGTGACTTAATAGAATCGGTTGCTTTGGTTGGTATATAACTGTAAGTTTCTGTTTTAGGGCACTGATAAGAAGTGGTTAAAATTCATCGTCATGTTTGACTTAAATAATTTTGATAAACAATCACTTGGAATGTACTAAGGGATCCATAAAAGCTGATATCTACTATATGGCTTTGTTTTGCTCTCACACTGCTTGCTCTCTGAAAATTCTGAGTTGCATTTGAAAAATTTACAAAAAAAAATGTTACATGGGTTTAATGAGGTCTTTTATTTAAAGCTTATACATTTTCTAGCTCTGATGCCCTCTGTTTCACCTACCTCAGTCTGAGTCCTTTGGGCTTGGTGTTAATTCCCCTAGCATTCCTACACTTCCAGTGGGTTTCTAAGAGATTCTTAATAAGCCAGGATTGTGTCATATCTTTATTGTGTTATCTTTTTAAAGGAAGAATAAAAGTGTTTTGATGTTGACAGTTTCTTACAGAGTCAGCGTCTATTGTCTTGACAAACAATAAAACAGCAAAGCAACACTGAGCCTTGACTGTGTCTTCCTAAGATGCTCTCAAAAGAATTTGTGAATGCTAGTTTGATTTTAAATGCCTGTGTAGAAGAAAGGCTGTGCATTTTCTTGTAATGAGAACTCATAGATAACCCAAAATTTGTTCTTACAACTTTGTTTTCTATCATACTTGCAAAGAACTTGGATTTCAAAGATAAAATGGACCCTTTTATTGTCTTGCTCCCTCATTACAATGAACCAGCCTCCTGGTACTACTTATTCCCCTGTTATTTTATTTATTAAATCTGTACCTCCACCTCCATCCAATTCCTGCACCCTGAGCAAGGCTGTTCTGAAATGGGATCATTCTGCAAGGATCCATTTTGACTTTGTCATTCCCTTACATACAGCCAGATTAAGGACTAACCACACCACTCACTCTCTGGAACACCAATCTCTACAGGGTTGCCATAATATCAGAGAAATAAACAGAATACATAAGAATAGCTAATTCTGATCCCACGTATAACCGCTACAATAGGGGTTGAAACTTCGTGTCAACCTGAGTTTCCTTCAGCAAGGCAGTCCTCAAATGCTCCCATGGGACAGCTTAATGACAGAATAAAAGCAAAATTAAAATCATTAAATTATTAGCTATCCTGGACTACTTTAGATTTTAGCTAGCACAGAGCTGACACAAAAACATAGTCTGTGACTTTCAGTTGTTTTTGAAAACAATTCAAAATCCTCGTCTTGCATTCAGTCTCCTCTACTCTAACAAGACTTATATCAATACTTACCAACACCAACCCTCTATTTCTAAGGAGCCTTCTTGTTTTTCCCTATGCTTATATTTTTTTTATTAATTTTCTTACTTATATATGATAGCAGAATGCATTACAATTCTTACTACAAATACAGAGCACAAATTTTTCATATCTCTGGTTGTATACAAAGTATATTCACACCAATTCATGTCTTCATACATGTACTTTGAATAATAATGTCCATCACATTCCACCATCACTTCTAACCCCCTGCCGTTTCTCTTCTCCTCCCACCCCTCTGCCCTATCTAGAGTTCCTCTATGCCTCCCATGGTCCCCGCTCCTACCCCACTATGAATCAGCCTCCTTATATCACAGAAGACATTCAGCATTTGGGTTCTTGGGTTTGGCTAACTTCACTTAGCATTGTCTTCTCTAACTCCATCAATTTACTGGCAAATGCCATGATTTTATTCTCTTTTATTGCTGAGTAATATTCAATTGTGTATATATGCCATATTTTTGATCCATTCATCTATTGAAGGGTATCTAAGTTGGTTCCAGAGTTTAGCTATTGTGAATTGTGCTGCTATAAACATGGATGTGGCTGTGTCCCTGTAGTATGCTGTTTTTAAGTCCTTTGGGAATATACTGAGGAGAGGGATAGTTGGGTCAAATGGTGGTTCCATTCCCAATTTTCCAAGGAATCTCCATACTGCTTTCCATATTGGCTGCACCAATTTGCAGTCCCACCAGCAGTGTGTTAATGTATCTTTCCCCCTCATCCTCGTCAACACTTATTGTTTTTTTTTTAAATATAGCTTTATTTTGTTTATTTATTTTTATGTGGTGCTGAGGATCGAAAACAGGATCTCACACGTGCAATGCGAGTGCTCTACCGCTGGGCCACAACTCCAGCCCCCACTTATTGTTGTTTGTATTCCTAATAGCTGCCATTCTGACTGGAGTGAGATGAAATATTAGAGTAGTTTTGATTTGCTTTGCATTTCTCTAATTGCTAGTGATGATGAACATTTTTTTCATATATTTGTTGATTGATTGTATATCATCTTCTGAGAAGTGTCTGTTCAGGTCCTTGGCCCATTGATTGATTGGGTTAATTTTTATTTATTTATTTTTTTTGTGTGTGTGTGTTTAGCTTTTCGAGTTCTTTACACACCTTTTTTATACTTGGGTTCTGATCCCTGCTGTTTGTCATGCGCACTTTGAACTCTAATTTAAATGTTCAACTATATAGTAAGCCTCCAGATTCCCTTTTGTGCTAGTTTCTGCCAGTTTCTGCCCATATTCTAAACCCTTTCACCTTGTCTTACTATTTGGATAAAGTAGTTGTAAATATAGCAAGAAAATTATATTTGTTTGGCTCAGAATGTTTTATTTGTATATGTGTGTATGTATTTACAAACCAGTACATTTTATATTAAGAATAAAGTGAATTTATGGCTTCTTTTTTAGAAATGGAGAGATTCAGTTAACACCGAGATCATCTTCTTCCATGGTGACAATTCTCCAGATCCAAGGAGAGCAGCAGTGTTCTCCAGTTTTACAGAGCAGCACCAAGCCACTTCATACATTCTCTTCCCTTCTTGGCTTTTGTCAGCACGGGAGTGAAATCTCTGCTCTTCCTGTCAAACCTTACCTCACCATCCCAGAATCAACACTTATTGCTCACTAGGTACCTTGTGTAATGCTTATGTGTTTCATGAATCAGCAACATCAGCCTGATCCAGGAGCTTGACAAATACAGGGTATCAGGCCCTTTCCTACAAGTATGGAACCAAGATCAGCATGTCAACTCCCCATGTGATTTTTATCTATGTTAAAGTTTGAGAAGCACAGGGCTACATGCTTATCTAGTCTTCCCTCTTATCTTTAATTCTGGGTCCAGAATCTTGCTTCCAGGTAGTACCCTTCTTCCCAGGCTGAATATCTAGATTTATATAACCCATTTGGAAAATGTGTCCATCTTTCAACATGCAGCTCAGATTTATGCCTGTCTGTAGAGCTTCCCCTAGGCATAGGTGCACATTTTATATCTTTACATATAAGTTCTAGGAGACTATAATGGCATCTGGCTAAAGCACTGTATTTACATCATCCTAGAATTGTGGGAATTACTCCATTTTTCCATATCTGAAGGAAACTGAATGTCTAAGAAAGGAGGAAAGCAGAGTTACCTGGGAGTACTCTATTTTTAAAAAATTAACACATAAATTCTATGCATTCATTATGTCCATGATGTTTTGAAGTATATTTCTTTATGTAGATGTGTGTGTGTGTGTGTAGTGGAATGGCTAAATATAGCTAAATAACATATGCATTACCTCACATTATTATCATTTCTGTGGTGAGATCACTTTTATGCTGTCATAACATTTTTCAAAAATACAGCATATTATTAACAGTAGCCAATATATTGCACAATAGATCTACTGACCTTATTCCTCCTATCTTTTGAGCAACATTGTCTCAACCCCCTACAACAACAACCCCAGTCTCCGGTAGCCATTATATTCTCTACTTCTATGAGAGATCAACTTTTTTTAGATTCCATATATGAGTGAGATCATGCAGTGTTGGTCTTTTTTCATTGTTAAATCAAATACATTTAACATAATTTCCTCCAGATCCATCCAGATTTTCATAAATAAGAGGATTTAATTCCCTTTTGTAAATGGATGTATTCTATTGCATATATAAACCATATTTTCGTTTTTAAGTATATTTTTAGTTATAGTTGGGCACAATACCTTTATTTTATTCGTTTATTTTTATGCGGTGCTGAGGATCTAACCCAGCTCCTCGCATGTGCTAGGCAAGCGCTCTACCACTGAGCCACAATCCCAGCCCAAGAATCATATTTTCTTTATCTTTTTATTCATTGAATATTAGGTTGATTACTAATCTTGCATATTGTGCTGTAATAAATAAGAGAATGCAAATAGCTTTTCTATAAACTAGTTCCATTTCCTTTGGATATATACCCAGTGCTAAGATTACTGCATCATTTTGTAGTCCTGTTTTTAATTTGTTGAGTAACCTTCATAGTGTTTTCTCTGGTGGCTGCACTAAGTCAT